TTTAACAACATTATTTACGAAAGTGGTGTAATTCCTCAAGATCTTTTAATGTCTACGTTTATAGCAATTCCCAAAAAAGATAATGCAAAATAGTGTGGTGATTATAGAACTATAAGCCTAATGAGTCACGTTTTAAAAATTTTCTTAAGAATAATTCATACAAGAATATATAAAAATAGTGAGGAAGATTTAAGCAACACACAGTTTGGGTTTAGAAAATCTTGTGGAACAAGAGAAGCTCTTTTTGCTTATAGAGTTCTGGTAGAAAGAAGTTTAGAGGTTAACAAAAATATATATGCCTGTTTTATAGACTATGAAAAAGCATTTGATAGAATTCTTCAAGTTAAATTAATAGATATACTTAAAAAGAAAGGAATTGATAGAAATGAATTGCAAATTATAACAAATCGTTACTGAAAACAGAAGGCCAACATTTTAATTTATTCTGAATCATCTGAAGAAATAGAAATAAAAAGAGGAGTGAGGCAAGGTTGTATTTTATCACCTTTACTTTTTAATATTTATTCAGATGAAATTTTTAAAGAAGCTTTAGAAGATATGGAACACATTGGGATTGTAATAAATGGGATGAATGTAAATAATATACGTTACGCTGACGATACAGTGGTTTTAGCAGAAAATATAAATGATTTGACAATACTAATAAAAAAGATTAATTCAATAAGTAAATTATATGGACTTCAGATAAATTATAAGAAAACAAAACTACTTATTTCATGCAAGAAAAATATAGATAATGTAACGTTGCAGATACAAAACAGGACAATTGACACAGTTTCATCAATTAAGTATTTGGGGACTATCATACAGAAAGATGGCAGATGCATTAAAAAAATTAAATCTAGAATAGAAAATGCGAGGGGTACTTTTATCAGAATGCAGAAATTTTTCAAAAGCAATGTTTTTAATTTACATCTTAAAATTAGAATGTGAAGTCAATGATGTGATGTCAGTTTTGTTTTATGAAGTAGAAACGCGGACCTTAGATAAAAATACGTTAAACAAACTTGAAGCATTCGAAATGTGGTTATATAGAAGAATTTTAAAAATATCTTGGACAGATAGAATAACAAATGAGAAAGTTTTGGAAATAATGGAGAAAGAAAAAGAAGTTTTAAATACAATTAAAAGAAGAAAGACGGGGTATTTTGGCCACATTATCCGAGGAAGTAAATATGAAATTTTGAGAAATATTTTACAGAAAAAAATCTGTGGAAAAAAAAGCCCAGAAAAAAGAAGGAAATATTGGTTACGGATTATATGTGAATGGAATAATAACAAAGCAGAAGAACTCACACGTGAAGCACAATTGAGATTGTTGTAATACTAGTCCTACATTCAGAAATGAATATGGAACCAGAAGAAGAAGATTGCTATTAATCGCTATCTAAACATTAGGTTTGTAATTTAAAATTTCAATTTTCCATTAAATTTAACAGAACAAAATGATTCTGAAAATTTACTGCATTGACTAAGTATTATTCTATAATATTTTGCATTAAAACATTTATGTTTCCCAATAAAATATTTATGAAAGTATAAAGTGCAAGTCAGTGATATACTTATTTGGTTAAAATGATATGTATTGTTATAGAAAGTTGTTAAGTGTTAAATGCTCAGTTTTTCAAATATCTTTATATTCAAGCGAATATCGTATTTGTAGTAATCAATTTTAAAATTTAATGTTGTGAAAAATTTATAAAATTTACAAATAGAGATGACAGAAAAAAAATAAATTTTAGAAGATTTATTATATATTTATATTATAGCAATTTTTATAAAAAGTGTAGACATAAAATGCTAACAACGCTAAATTTATACATTTCCAGCAGAGTTGCATTACTTTTTTCAGTGTTATAAAATCTACACTAATATTATAAAGAAGTAATGTTTGAAAGTGTGTATGTAGGGGTAATCTCCAAAACTACTCAGCCGATTTCAAAAATTCTTTTAGAAATTTTTAGAATGACACTTTAGGGTTGACATAAACTGTATATTATTTCGTTAAACATTCATATAAATTAAAAAATATCATGTAGGCTTAAGGCTTTTATGTCCAACAGATGGCGCTACAAGTACAACAACCTAGGTTTGCTTTTCTGTGAGGATGTACTAAAGCAGATCATCTTCTATCTATCTGTATAAATAAAAATGTAATGTTCGTTTGTTTTTACCGATTCCTTTGAAATTTTGACACAACGCCGCATTCAAACACTCACGTGTTTTTAAATAATATACATGTAGAAATTCGCCCCACTGGGGGGAGACGGACAGGATTGAGACTTATTGTAAAGAACTCTGCTTCTATTTGTACTATTTTAGATGATGTACTGTGGGTTTCTGATTGCGTTTTAATAGGGTACATCAAGAGAATATACAGTAAGAAGAGATTTTTTTCGAAAAATTCCAACCCCACAGGAGAAGTTTTATATATTTAATTAAAATAGATACATTTTGAGCTACAACAATTTGTGGCAGAGTAACCTAGTGTAATATAAAATGATATCTTTTATTTCATTAATTTACGATAATAAACAAAAATGTGTGTGGTTAAATGTATTATAAACATTTGTTATAAAAAAGTTTCTTATATTATTAATAAATAGCAAAAAACCTTCATTTTGAATGATACTTCGAATTTTATAGAACCATTGAAAATGCAAATAATAAATAAATTTTTTATTAATCTTTTTTTCACTCATGCTAGTATATGATTTACATTTTTTTTTTCGAAAATTTTGTTTATGATATACTCATTTCACATTATGTTAAAATTTGCAAAATGATGAAATTTAACATACACAAAACTTTTTGAAGAAAGTTTTTCTCTTTGGTAGGCAATTGCTTTATAATGATTCATAGTCACAATATATCGTGACTATGAATTATTATAGAGCAATACGTTAATTAATACTAATAGATGTTATTAGTATAATTGCTGTATAATTATTCATAGTCACGATATATCGTCACTATAAATGATTATAAGTTACGAGTTATTTTTGGTACTTAATGACATTTAATTATTATAGAAAAAGGCAATTTTTTTTTGTAAAAACGTATTGATTTCATTTACTAAAATAATACCATATAATAAAAGAAAATTACTGTAATAATAAACGTTGTGAATTTTATCAAATTATATTTTATTTTTAATTATAAGTAATTATGTTATTATTTTAAAGATCAAATTTAATTTTTGTAACTTCATATAACCATTACTCATAACTTTTTTGGTTGTTTTAAAAGAAAAACTAGAGAAAATACGATAGACAAAAATAAAAAAATTAAGATTAATTTTTGCATTTTACAGTATCTTCACATAGCTGCAGCACAGAAATGTCGAAAAAAAAAACATCACAATATTATGTACTGTGTTTGTGTACAGAGATTGCATTTTCGAAAAATGAAAACAATAATAATTTGCAAGAATCAATCCATAGTAATGTTTTTCTTTAGGTTTTCTTTTGTAAATTACAGAAACACTTGATATCATAATATTTATATTTATCTAAAATATTAATAAACAGTACTAATAGTTTTTACCTGCATTTTTAATCGTTTTTATATGACATATTACAAAATATAAGAGAAATGATATAAGATATTAAACAAATGTTTTAAATTAAAGAACAAATGTAATAAAATGAGTCGAAACTTTTATTGTTAAAAGACAAGTGAGCTGTCCCTTAAGAAAGAATAACGTTTTTTACAGATATCTTTATTATTTTTTGTATGTATTTTAAGAAAATCAACAGCAGTCAAAAATGTTTCAAAAGATGCAAAAAGAAATGACAACAAACAACTAAACTTTATTTTATAGAGAAACAAACAACAAACAGAAAAAATGTGCATTTATTAAGAACGAATTAGAAAATAAAATTAATATTGAATAAAAAATATTAGGATGTTACATTTGAAATGAATAATAGAGTGTATGATTGTCACTATAACATATTTTTCGAGCAGAATATGTGAACAAATATTAATAAATAAACACAACCTGTTTAAGAATGAATAGATGACTTTATCGTTATTTATTGCCAAAAAGCAAGCATTTCCGAATCACACTAATATTATAGAATTCTGTTAAAAGTACGATATCAGATAATTGAAAATTACAATTGTAATTAAAAATATCTAAATTGTTTAATTGTTAAAATAAAAACAAATCATTGAGAAATTTTCATATCTAATTTTTTTCAATATAACTATAAAAATTTGAAAAAAATAAAACCTGATCAAGTTTTAATAGATTATCTGAAACTCCTAAAATATCATATTATAAGGGATAACAGATGGCCTTGACACTAACTAGTAGTAAACTGGTTTTCCTCCATAGTGTTAAAAAGACTTTGAACTATTACTGTTTGTTATTTTCTTTATTTCTCTCATATAAACATTTCGATTTTCTGATTTTCATCAGTACATTTATACGACAGCGTTTAGCCAAATAACAAATAAATATTAAAAAAAAATTCAAAAATGACTAAATATTAAAAAAATATACTGTGCTAACTTTTGTAATTTTAATTTGAAAAATGTTATCAAGTTTTATGAAATACATGTTTTCGTTCATCAATAAATTTCATTCAAATCACGGTCACCAGCAATAAATAAAGGCGTTAAATAACACAAACTGTTATTTTTTCACAAATAGTAAAAATAGTTGAATAGTGTCAATTTTTGTGCATAAATTATGAGGCTTGAAACTTTTCTGTTTTCACCTTGAAGTTTGGAAATAAAAAAAATTAACACCATTTTCGATATTTTTTTGAAACAAATTTATTTGAAAGCATTTAAAACATCATTTATTTCGTGCGTGGATAAAGACCGTTCGTCCTGTGAGAAAAGTAAACGAGTTTGAAATTGTATTTCATTTCCATAACGACAGTGGCTGTAAACAATGCGTGGTAAAAAATATATAGCATTCACATGCAAAACAGGGAAACCCTTCATTATTATGAGATAATTCGAAAATGAAAGTATTGTTGTTGTTCGTGTTAGTTTTTGGGTGTTTCAATTTTATTTTCTCAAAGAAAGGTATGTAGAATATTTTATTTCTTACAACTTCAATTGCTTTAAATATTATATTTACTAAAGATATGATAAATTTTAAGTGAACTATTTTAACTTGGAATGGAGAATTTTTAGAGCATACTTAGTTTGTAAGACGTTTACGTTTGCAAAAACTTCGAATAACAATGTTAAAAAAATTACACTAATATGTATTTAGTCGGATAAATTTTAAAAAGCTGATTAAAAATCAACAATCAAGTAATAAACAAAAAACTTATTTGAAAAAAAAGACGAAAAATTGAAATCAATTGATATCTACAAGATAAGTTTCTGTTTCAAGCCACGGGTCTGCTTTCTCCAATACAGAGAATTTATAGAAACAAAAAGTAGTTTTGAAGCACAAAGGATTGTAAAAATATGAAATTTATATAAGACATTTGAAAGATAATAGTTTACAATTGATCATTTAAGAATTGAGATAAGTTAACCGTATTATTTGAACAATAAAAAAATAATATAACACAAATAAACAAATGCAATTAATTTTTGCGCTCAAAATTACACACAGTTCATTAATTAATTTATTGAGGAATAAAATGAAATTAAGTAGTTTGAAGTTATATTTAATTAAGGTAATTATTTTATTCACGTTCAATTTTATTTTATCAGTTCACAAAATGTTTTCTGAGAGGTTAAAGATATGTATGCAAATTTAACTTTCTTTGACTACAGGTTTATGTAAAATTATAAAACTCGATGCAAGGAACATTTAGTAATTTGAACAAAACGCTCCTCCTGTATTTCCTGTCGTTGTTTTCAGATAGAATGTACACCGTATTTTAGTGTTAGTATTATATGTTTATTATAAAATAATCCTAATAACAAAAGTTTTTTTTTTTTTTTTTCGTAGAGGTAAGTGTCCTAGTCGAATCATTTTAATTTTTACTTGCATACCACACAATAATTCACGCTTTCCTGTGAGGAATGCATCATCATCATCTCCTTGAATGTTTCAAAAAACACATTGTGTAATAAAGAAACTGATCGTTCAGACTAATGTATAAATTATTTATCTTTGACGTATTCAATGTCGATATTCTTAGTATTATATTTTTGTTACAAAAACTCTTAATTATCATAAAATTTTTCATAGGAGCAAAAAATAATTCATATGAATGGAAAATTGTTGGTATACAGGTAAGATAACTTTTTTCTAATAATTGATTGTATGGTTTTTATGACATTGTTTACACTTTGCAGAAACCGGTTCTTATGACATTGGACGAAACTGAAACAAAAATCACAGACGGAATGCACTTTCACGTGTTTAAAGCTATTCAAGAGAAATTAAAATTTAGGTAAATAATATAACTATATTTACGAAATATTAATTTAATGAATAAACACAGAGTATTAATTAATTTCATTTACGTAGATATTCTCTTGTAAAACCAATGCCAGAAAGTTTTGGATATTTAACTGAAAACGGCTCGTGGACTGGATTAGTTGAAAAATTAGTAAATAAGGTATGCAAATTGAAACTATAAACATGTACATTTGTGAATGTCTGTATATATGGATAAATGTACAAATATACTGATTACAATTATGTATTACAGTAATTTATGATGTATTATTACTGACATAATGTTTATGGTTACTGTATTTTCATGGTATTGACTCTTAGCAATGTAACAAACAATTACAAAAAAAAAAAAAAAACATTTCCTTATCGTTTTCTTCAGCATATGTACATTCTGTACCCAACCAGATCGCATGATTTGTATCTCTGTCAAATTGTTTTAAACATAGATAACTAGTTGTTATACACACGAAAATACGATATTATTCTCTAGTAAAGAGTATTAAACTAAAAGTTCGTAACAATATGGCTTATAGTTAATATAATGTATAAATTTAAAAATTTCAATGTTTCGTTTTTACTCTATTGCGTCAAAACTAATTTCAGAGAATAAGCATAAACGTCCACTTTACTACTCTTGTCAAAAGAAGAGACAAATTTAGGTAACTCTTGTGTTCGATTTTGAAGCCTATTTTGTTGGGTTTTAATTAGAAAAATTGTTTAGAAATTAGTGTTGTTTCAAACGTAAACATGACTTTTTCAAATACTCTTGAAAGTGTTTACGTAATTTTTGAAAATATTGCGAACTTTTTACGAAAACAAGTTTTGTAGATATATTAAAAGCTTTCGTTGAAATAAACATTGAATTTTACAAAATAAAAGTAAAAGAAAACGCAATAACAATTAAAAAAAGCATAGTCAAAATTTGAACTTGTGATTTTTTGCATTAAATGATGTGTGAAATTAAATACACATTTAAATTGCTTCAAAATACAAGCACTGATTTAGATGAGGCTACAACATATCTGCAATGAGTTTTCAAACAAATAAAAGATTTTCGGACCATTTCGATATAAAAAATCAAAAGATTACGAATGATAGGGAATAAATAGCTCGTTCGAGTAAAAAACAATTCGAATCGTTAACACTCATTTCCTGAGTTGACACGTAATAACCGCCATCACGACAAAATACATCAGTTTAAAATTATTCTGTTCTTCTACACTCTAGATATAATTATACAGCAAGTTACACAAAGATCTGTCGGAATGACGTCAGTAAGAAATTACTTTGATTTCTTAGAACCAAAAACAATTTTTGAATTCTCAGAAATACAAATAATGAAAAGGTGCAATAAAAAACAAAATTAAGAATTTTTTTGTTTTTTATTATAATTAAAACTCTTTGACCATGCTTGCCAATGGGCCCAATATTTATAGCGACCCCATTATGTCAGACATTTGGAAAAGGACCCGATAAACTTATTTCTGTTCAACCTGTTGGTGAGGCACAAACTCGAAATTATGTATTCAGTGCTCAGTCAATTTATTCACTTGTGCACTGGTGGTAACATATGCATTAATTCCTGTAAATAATACCTTTAAATAGTTAATTTTTAATTGATTTTGTTGAAGCATGTGTTTAATTAATCTGGTATATTTTTATAACTGTTGCATGCCTAATTCCTTAAACACAATACAAATAATTGGTTTTATTTTAAATTTAGAACGCCGATATGGCCTTCAATGGTTTATTCCTCAACCCAACTCGTTTTGCAGCAGTGGAATTTACTACACCATTAGAGTTTCAGACTGCTGTGTTTTCCATCAAAGCTCCAGAAAGAATTCCAAATTGGATTTCCATAATAAAACCTTTCGGTTTAGATGTAAGTGCTTAACATTTACATTGGGTTGCCAATACGCACTCCAGTCGACCAAATGCGGTATTGTCTAAATATTACGGCTCTAAAAGAACAAAATGCAAAAATTTCGAAAAATTATAATAAATTTTGGGGGTACTCTGAAACGGTACTTCAAACATATGTTGCAAGATGGCGTGTTAGTTGTAGACTTCGCCAAACCTACGATAAGCCTGATAAAGGCCTTTTTACAGCACACAAGATAAAAATCATAAAATATATTCCTTCGAAATTTGTAGCTTTGAAAGTTGGCAACCCTTTGTTTAAAAGTAAATATTCATACTAATTAATTTTTTAAAAAAATGTTTTTTTTTGTAGATGTGGATAGCGATTCTCTCAACGGTATTCATATTTGGATTAGTATTGCATAAAGTGATCGAAAGGGATTTCCTCACTGACGAAGTGGGAATATTCTGGCCACGAAGCCGTGTGTTCTGGAATTTATTTTGCACGCTTGTTTACCAAGGTATGCCGTTTTTTGCTTTCAATAACAGAAAAAAATATTAGTAATTAATATTTATACTTAGGAATTAAACTGGAGAACGTGAAAAGATTCAAATCCAGATTTCTCGTGTCAATGTGGTTGCTATCAGTTGTAGTGTTGATAAGTAGTTATAGTGGAACTTTAATATCTTTTATGTCTTGTCCAATAACCGAGTCTGTTCCAAAAACTTTTGACGAACTAGCGATTGCTGTCAAAAATGGTGAGTATTCGTGTGGTACTTTAGAAAAAGGAGCTATATGGAGTTACCTTATGGTAAGTACTGTATATGGTAGCCATATTTAAAGTTTTTCTATTAAGTGCTAACTGTACTTGTAAATAATAAGCAATTGGCCTTAAAATTAGTATACAGAGTATGTAAAAAATGCAGAAGAGAATTTCCAAACATAAATTTAGTTTAAAAATTTTGCTAGGGACCACAGAAAACAGGAAAGCAATAACACAAAATAACGTAGTTATTCGTTAAGCACGAAATATGCGTTCTGCATAATATGTTTACTGATTTTAAAAAAATGTTGCTCAGGGTCTGCGTTTATAAATGTTAAGGTACAAAATTTTGTTTGCTGTGGCATAAATGTTATTGCAGTGAATCCATTCGTGATGTTTACAATAACATTAAAATGTAAGTTAACGTTGGCGTTTTTTATTTACCGTGTTTCGAGCCGTATATTTTCCTGTAAAGTGCTCGGAAAACTTTCAAGTTTATATTCTTTCGAAACACTTTTTATCATTCGTTGCATCGTCTGTATATTTGTATTGGGAGATTCGATCATTGGTTACTGGTACAGAGTACACTGAATAGAAAAACTATGAATATGGACACTTTGTATAACAATTGTTGCATTTAGAACTTGTAATGATTTTAATTATTTTGTTACCTGCATATTATTTGAAGAATTCCAACAACAACAAGGAAAAAATTTTTAAAGATAACATCCTACGTCACAACAATTTTTTGTCTTTGTCGATTGCAAGCGAAAAAGTTAAGAAAGAACGTTTTTCTGTGATAGACAGTAAATATTACACAAATAAACTAGTGCAAAAAGATCCACACGCATATATCATTTCTACAGATGTTCTCGTCACATTTGTTCAGTTTTATGCTGTAAGAAAAGAATTTCCGTTTAAGAAGGAATTAAGTAAAACGTAAGAACGTTTCTGTTTAACTGTATGACGTTTTTCTTTTACGAAATAATAAAAAAATATATTTCTTATGCAGTGTAATACGTATATTTGAAGCTGGAATCGTCGAGAGAAAAGATTATGCAGAAACACCAAAGCTGCTAAAGTATTCAGAATTCCACGCATTAGAATTGGCTGACGTCATTAGTCCAATGATATTGCTTTCGATTGGATTTGCTTTAGCATTAATGTGCTTATTTCTAGAATTATTCTGTAAAAGAATAATTGAAAATCAACACGTGTAAGGAAAAAATGTATATTCGTTTAATATTTCTTATAGAACAATTAATACTAATTGTTCATGAAAATCACCAATTTTTTTTACACAGTTGTCATATACACTGTCGGATAAGCGATTCAGCTTTTCTCTCGTTTTTAATATAGCAGAATTAATAAGTATATTAATTTCCAGTTTCTTTGTATTTAAACTTTCATTAAAACACATTTATATTGTGAAAACGCCAGAATAGTGTAAAATGTTTCGGTAATCTGTTGCCAAAATTTATTGTATGTTGAAATTATGTTTTCGAAAGCATTGCGTTTATAGAAAAATTATTCGGTTGAAATTTGTAAAAATTGAAGACTTGTAAATTTCGATACAAGTCTGCCTGTCTGTTTGTGGGTTTGTCTTACGTTAATATCGATAAAAAAGTTAGATATATGAAGGACGTTTCGTGGTACAAAAGGGGTACAGCCAAGAGGATCATATTATCTATATACAAACGTCCTATTTGAAGCAAAAATCACATTACTTCAATTTAAAATTTTTCGAGGATTGTAGTTATGCAACTGGCACGGTCATATTGCTAATTCGAAAAGTGTGATGTACACGGGCAAGATATCGATAAAAAAATTAAAACATGGTGATGACAAGTCGAAAACCGAAATTGTGACTATGCTACTATAAAGTAGTCGTTGGTTCGACTTAGTTTGGTTGATTTGTTTACAGCAACGCGAAACGTGAGCGATGTGCCAAGAAGGATGCATCACGAGAAGACTTTTGTGGAAAGCTATACTTTACTTCGGTGTTACTAACGCAGAAAAATTCCAAAATACTCCACCTGTTAGTCATTCCTTATCACACCATTAACTACCAGAGTTCGATAGTTTTATACACTCAACTAATGATGGGCACTTATTTAAACTTAGAAAGTATCGTTTTAGCAGTAACAAAGTGAATATAATACAGTAAAACTTGTCTATGGCGACCACCTACGGTTCCTTCAAAAAGTGGTCTTTTAGAAAGGTGGTCGTCCAATGCAAATGGTGCTGTAATACCGTATTTCTGTACGTATTTTGCGCACTTTTTAGCCATTTCTACTACGTAAAATTCGAGGTGAGCAAAAATGAGCGAATTTTCGTGACGTTACACATAATACACTTGCACTCGTTTATATTCATGTGCTGCAGATTCTCGTCTAACGTTCTTTAAACTCTATAAGTTGGCTCTAACCGAGACAATGAAAATATATTTTACAACTGTCTTGCAGTTGATAATTGTAACAATGTTTTTGTTGTGTGCTAAAGAACTTGGTGAGATACTATATTTCTATATTTGTTACTTTAAGAAATATGTTTGTTAGTACTAAGTGATCATAAATAAAAGTATCTCTACCCCTGCGTCAGGCGCGTGAGGTCACTGTCACAATGTGAGACGCCAGGGAATTCTTTGTTCCCAGATTTCATAGATCAATTTTAGAAAATTAATAGCTTTATTCGTGGTTTTGTGTTGTAAAATGAGTAATCCATTGTATTTTTGAAATCACAATAAAAAACTACTCAAAATAAATCAGTTTACTTTATTATTTAAGGAAAACAAAAAAGTATTACGTTTCAGGAATTTTTATTAGAAAAATTATCAAGTGTAGAAGCGTTTTGTGCAAACTGTATACAAGTTTGTTGCTATCTATGTTCTGTTACGTTTTCCTATATAAGTGTTTTACCAGTGTCATGCCATCATTAGAAGCGGTGGAAGCGCTGCTTCCCTTGTTTTTTTATAAAAAATAAATACGTATTAATTTTAATTATATGAACATATAATTAAAATTTTATTATTTTATTATAAATGGTTTATTTTATTATAACCGCACAATATTTTATTATAACCGCTTTATGTATCTTATTACAAATTTCTATACTACACGTGAACAAAAAGATAAGATCGCTATTGTATATTCGATATTAGTGGCAGAGTTGAAACTCTAAATTATCAGGTTCCAAGAAGCCACATAGAAGCACATATGCGCATGCGCTTTACAGAGCACCAACCTCACACGGTTTAGCCGGTGGAAGCCTACGACTTTGGGTGAAAGCTGCACACATATAACGATTCCAACTCTATTAAGGACTGGTTCTGGGCTGTTAGCCGCCTGCCCACCAGATATTTCGATTACGTGAATAACGAGTAGATTTATAATTTAACCCAACCGATAAGAATTTACTGGTATGTTTTTATGATAGTTCTGTATAGTTGACAAGAGTTTAAAAAATCCAATAAAATATTTGATATCTTTATTTCGCTCTCCAATTTTATATTACTCAAGGATTTCGATGTTAAACCGAGAATTTTACGATTTCGTATATCCCATCTAAAGATACCATATAAAGGATGTGGAAAAAAAAACGTGTACAATTCTCGTATAATGTTAAAAAATAACCGTTACACGACAGCGTCATTTACAACTAAATTTAATGAATGAGAGAGATGCACGAGGTACAGAAAAGGCTCTAGAATTTACTTTCCTTAAATTTACAATTTATGTATCGGTTTGTTATAAAAATTTTTCTTTCTACTTTTTTCCCGAGACTACAAATATTCGAGTACAAAGTAACCAGTTTCGACTTATTTCTACTTAAGTAGTAGTTAAATAATTAAGCGATTAGGGAATTGGGGATGTAAACAAAACTCTGATGAAAGAGCCGGAATATTACTTAAATAAAAGCTTAAACTGAACCAATCTATAGCCGAGTAGAGTAGGAACTGATTTCTTCGAAATACTGTATTAGATGTAATAAAGACAGAAATTTTTCCAGTTCGACGTGAGTGACCGAAAAGTTGAAAATTTTGGAAATTTTCGTAGACAACACCTGCTCCTAAAACGAATTATTTAGAAAACAAATGACTATTAAGTTTAACACATTTAGATTTTTACAACTATGGTGAGAAACATTTAAAATCTGCTTAAGTCCCTCTGTGGCTCGATATCCTCGCCCTTATCGGCTGAAATCGGTCCAGACCACTTGTACGCCTTTGCTATGGGATATGACGTCATGGCATATTGAATGACTTGTTTTCGGAGCTGCGTGAGCGCTAGATATCAAGCCGACTTCATTACACTTAGCTCAAAACGGCCTATAGACATTGGCTGACTGAACAATGGTTTAAAATATGAACAAATTCATATTTAGAAAATTTATAATGAATTCGAAATTCGTCTTGGGATAGATTTTTAAGGAATTATTTCGACATTATTACTATTGAAATGAATAACTTTAAGTATTTCATTATTAATATTACATTTTTTTGTATCTATAAGCGGATTGGTGTAATTATTAAAATTTTGTCGTTTGTTTCACAGTACAATTACACCAAAATGTATTAACGTTCTTATAACTGACACGAACTCGAATTGTAAATATATGTATGTGATTTAAATTAATTGATGTTTTAAATCTTCACGCATTTGAACGTAGAAATTGGAACATTTAAAAGAAATTTAAAGTATTTAAGTTTGGTGTTTTCGCTCCAAGCAATTAATTAATGAATACTTTTGTCGATTCGTATTGTTTAAGACATTTTTCAAAAAAACGATATCTGTTTTTATCTAAACTTTTCCACGAACAAAGCTACCACTCGAATTGAAAAGCGATCATAACCTGATGTCGAGTGAGTCTACAAAACAGGTCAAATAACTTATTTCTAATCGTTGTCTACATTGTGGCAGACGAGAAACGTCGTCTCTGCAATGAAATTTTTCTGACCAGTGGTCTACCCGATCTGTAAACCGCCGCCGGCCTCTAAACGTTGTCTCTGCAATCGGCTGTTAATATCATGGGGCAGAATTGCAAAAATGTGATAAAACGTTGATCACTTTATGAATGATAATAACCATAAGTAGAAACGAAACAAATATGAAACTTTGAATATAATTGATAATAAATATAATCAAACAAATAAACTGTACACAATTTATAGAGATAAGTGGACGTCCACTGAAAACTTAAAAGATAAATATGTACTGTTGATAAAAGTCATTTAACGTAAACTCTGTCTCTGCAATCGGCTGTAAGAAGCCATGTCTTAACAAGCTTTTTATTGGTGCGGCCAGAACCGTAATATAACTATTTGATAGTGAGGGATTGAGACCAACATATCAGGTCAAATCATTACCTATAAAATGTTTCGGAATTCCTCGACCTGTCTGGATTTGATCCTGAGTATTAAGAGTGATAGGCTGCCACTTTGACCAGTTGACCATCCCTCCATCAGGTTTTATCACTTTATGTATGACAGGTCGAGTTTTGTTGGACATCTGAAAGAGGGAGAATTACAGAAAATTTTACTAACTGAAACAGAAGAGAAAGAAACAGTAAAAATTTTAAGAAAAATGCTAACGTAATTATGGATAGTACCTAATAAAGAACTAGAGGATTTCAACATTATTATTTTCGTCTATATTTTACAAAATTTCACTTATTATTCCATGTTATCACGAAATTAGATAAAAAATTCTGCAATTATTTTTCCTGTTTATGCGATTTATTACGACACCAAACCTATTCGTACATATACAATTTTATAAATTACAATAAAATATATACGGAATTCAAAGTATTTTTACTATGATTGTATTTTCATACTAATAATGACATCTGTGAACATTCAGAGGGTACAGCAAGAACCAAATAAAGTTACGTGAGGTGTTCCAGCAATAGCTTTTCCTGTATTCTTTGCACTTAATGTCAAATTCTATACAATTCGATACGATGATAGATAAATGCGTTTTTCTTTGTTGAAAGTATTTAATTCGTCTAAATTACAGCATTTTTCATGGAGTCTTTTTAATTAAAGGAGTTATTGAAATCTGTTAAACCCTTGCTACTTGCTTTATAGGATAATTTGAAATAAATTTCAAGAAGTATTTTCAAATTTATCTGTCCGTTTATTTCTCTGCTATGAATAATTGTAATGCGACGTTTTTCGTGATATGGCGTTTCACGTATAAAATACTGTACTTTGTGGTTG